TGTGTGAATGATCAAGTAGGCATTTGCTTATTTAGGAAAAAAGAAATGAAAACCTGCTGGCCAGCTCTATCATCTAGGAAATAACAGACACCACCACCAGCGCTAAATGTCTGCATTGCCTTTGTATCTATGGTTTAGTGCACTCTCTCATCTTAAATTTGTGGAATATTGACATTAAAATAATAGTTTTATAAAATGGGTGTCTTTTTGCATTTTGGAAAAAAACAAGCATTGTGTTCTAATTGATTTTTTTTGATTCTGTGTGATGGCTATTTTGCAAAAATTATGAGTGGTTATAATCAGAAGTTGACGGTGGGAATGTTGACAGCTCACACTCACAGTCATCAGTGTGTCCCTGACACGTAACCGTGTTTAATCTCTGCCACAACCTTCACCCCCTCACCACCATCTTAGATGAAGAAAGTAAGGCAGAAGAAATTAAGAAATTTTCCTGAGGTTACATAGCTAACAAACATCACATCCAGAACATCAATAAAACTTCTTTTTAATTTAAAGATGATACGGCTGAAGGCAATTCTGGATTCATCATAGGCTCAGAGTAGAGCAGGCGGTGTACTTCTGAAATGGTTTTTCACATAGTGACATTTTAGACAGTATTTTTTTTTTTTTTTGGAGACACAGTCTCACTCTGTCACCCCCAGTAGAGTGCTGTGGCATCATAGCTCACAGCAGCCGCAAACTCTTGGGCTTGAGCAAAATCCTCTTGTCTCAGCCTCCTGAGTAGCTGGGACTATAGGTGCCACCAGCATGGCCAGCCAGTTTTTCTATTTTGGAGGGGGAGGGTAAAGATGGGATCTGACTCTTGCTTAGGCTGGTCTCAAACTCCAGAGCTCAAGCAATCCACCCGCCTTGGCCTCCCAAAGTGCTGGGATTACAGGCATGAGCTACCACACCCACCTATTTTAGACAATATTTAAGTCACTATAGTTCTGATGTAGTCTCTAAAGATCTGGGTATGATGGCTCGGCGCCTATAGCTCGGCTCGGCGCTTATAGCTCAACCTGCTAAGGCGGCAGCTACGTACACCTAAGGTGGGGGGTTCGAATCCCCAGCCTGGACCTGCCAAACAACAATGACGGCTGCAACCAAAAAAA